TTCAAACTGCAATTTATAGATACAGAAAAACGATTAAAAAGACAATAACCTGATTACCATAAAAATTTCGTGCTAAAACTGTAAAGCTACTGATAAAAGTTAGCTCAATTCAAAAATTTCTAGAGCATAAAGTATTTATTCTTCTCATATCTATTTTCTGGCGAATATTTTTTTTTTTTAAATTGCCGTGCTTCGCCGGAGTACACAGATAGTTGTAGAGTAACACAGCAATTTATATTCCAGAGGTTAATAGTGCTTTTAATTATATCACTATTTGATATATATACTGTCTCAAATTGAAAAAGAGCGGCATTTTATCAACGGTAAAGAAATTGTGCAGTGCCATCAACCTCGATGCTCGCTGACGAACCTTTTTCCCTTGCAAAGTGCCACTAGAGTCTTAAGTAGTTACAAACTCGAATCTCATACTAGCTTTTCGTATAAGGTACAAGTCCCAATTCATTATTAATATTCATTATATATTAAAATTGTAACAGGACAATGTCTGTAGACGGAAGATACTTAAAAAAATTGATGTAAGAGATTTTAAGAGGAGTAACAGAAGTCAAAATAGTATTTCTTAAATATTTTGTCTGCCTGTCTGTATGTTTGTATCGGTATCACGTAAAAGCTACTACTCCAAATTGAATCTGGTTTTCATTGTTGTTTTAAAAAACTAATTCTTAAAAATCTAACTTTAAAAAATAGTGTATGTTTTATTTTGATATATATCATCTAGGAGTGGTCTATTTTTCAATTTTTCAGGTTTTCCAATTTCTAAAATCTGCGCATACGAAGTAGCAGGCATGAAGCTTGTATTATATTATATATGAAAGTTGTGAGAAGTACATAAACCGTTTGAAAACGGAGTGAATTGTAATAAAATTTGATACATAGATTGACAACAACTATATCTTATGTTAATATTTTTATCGTGATTCACAGAGGAAAATTTGAGGTCAAAACTTACGTAACTAATAAAAAAGTTATCTTCGAGAAATATATAAATGTTCGTGAAATTTACAGACTCGGCAAGCGCTTCCATTTGAATTCATGTAATTTCGGTTAAACATGAAAGTTTGTTTAAAACTACAAGTTTTAGGGAAGTTGATAACTCGGAGCTAAGTTGGTACACGTATCTATAAGCGGTAGCCGGCTTTATCGACATAACTTGGGGATTACATTTACGTGTCTAATGGACTGCGAAAAGCGAGTTCCCACAATGGCCTCACATTTTTATCGGCAGTTAATGGTTTTCGGCAATTTTCGCTTTGTTATAAAATTGTAAGTGCTCAACGTGTAGACATTAGCACTTTAGTTTTATGAAGTCAATATTTCACAAAATATCTTTTTTTATATTTATAAAATTATATTTCTTTATTACGACGACACGTTATAAATAATAAATATATAATAAATAAATATATACGGACAAAGTCACACAGATTGAGCTAGCCCCAAAGTAAGTTCGAGACTTGTGTTATGGGATACTAACTCAATGATACTATATTTATAATAGATACATATATAGATAAACATCCAAGACCCAGGCCAATCAGGAAAAGATCGTTTTCCATCATGACCTGGCCGGGGATCGAACCCGGGGCCTCCACGTCGCAGGCAGGCGTGTTGACCGCTGCGCCACGGAGGACGAATGTTTAATTAGTTACTATTTTCTACATAAATTATATTAGGATCAAAGTATTCTTTGTGTTATAATGTTATGGTGTTTGTGTACATGTATTATTATATTTATACTATAATGTACTATAGTGTTAAATATATGAAAATTGAGCTTCAGTTACCTAATATAGACTTCTAACTAGTCCTAACACTACAGAATCCGAACATAAATTGAAGTAGATTGTTTAACTAATTTAAAATCCTTGCATAATTAATTTTTTTCTTTATATCACTGAGGTGGCAATCAAGCATACAGCCCACTTAAAGGTAAGCGGTTACCGTAATCTATGGATGTAATATAGTGTTAAATAAATAAACTAATAGTTATTACTTTAGATTGAACTAATAACAGAATAACGTTTCGTACATATAAAATCTAACGTAAATTAGATTCCAGCGATGGCGTGGCCTTCGTGTTTGATTATCTACATTATAGATGCGTTTAAATATTCGTTGTTTGGATACAGAGATAGAATGCCTGAATAAGGTGAATAGAGTTCAGTTGCGCCACGTGGTAAAGGCCCATTTGTCGAATTAAACATTTACCCTTAGATAAACGTTAAAGGAGAAATGTATGGAACTTCCTTGATGGATTGGAAATGGAAATAGATTCCATATATTTTTGGGCCCATGAACATACTCGTAGTTACTTGTATGGTAATCTTACTTTATGTCAAAAATGATATAAATATGAAATCATGACGTTTGGATGATCCGTTAAAACGTCAAGACGTAACACGAAAACTCATTTTAAATTTATAATAATAATGTAAGGATATTAAGGTGTTTGCCTATGTATATACGTTACAACTATCTTCAACGAAATGTTGTATTATTAAGACGCAGCGGTGAAAGCTTAATGTGGAGCCGACAGCAGTAAATTCTTAACGAAGATGTCGCTAAGAACTCGTTACTAGACTTATGTAGTAAGTAATGACAACACATTGTCAACCGAGCATTGTATTTCATTGTCTCGAATGACAATTATCAAAAATAAATATTCGATAAATCAATAATGGAGCAACCATTGTTTATCTAGTCCTTCATGTCAGTAATTTATATATTGGAATATGTAGTAGGTAAATGACAAATTATTAGCAAACAAAATATTTACTAGTTGTACTAGCTTTTTGCCCACTACTTCGTACGCGTGAATTTTAGAAGTAGGAAAACCAATGAAATAGTCCATTTTTAGACGGTGTTTCAAGATAAAACGTATGCACTAGATTATAAGTTGTATCTTCACGAATATAACTGTAAAAACCGCATTAAATTTGATGATGTTTTTTTGCGTGATGCCGGAACAAACATAGACAGATAGACAAATTTTCCAAAAAATATTGTATTAGCTTTGATTATTGTTATTAAGACACCTCATATAAAATATTATTATATCTTTCACGTACAAACATCGCCAAATTACAATTTTATTATATTAGTAAGATGAAACAAATTGAAATTTAGGAATCATTTAAAACTGAAATCGAAATCGCGAAAGTCGTTTACATGATTATATATTTCTGATGCAAATCACTCCCATGGCTGTATTAGAACATATTATGAAAGTTTTTGTACTCGATTGTATTCTGCCTACCCCATGAGTAACGGGCTATGAAGCGAAATAATACAAATAAACTTTCTTACGGGTTAAAAAACTGCAACAAATGTTAATGACCAAGGGGGTGAACTCTGCTAATAGATAGAACATATACGATAATTAAGCTTATTTCGCAAAGATGTGATATCACTCTGAACTGATATTGAAACTGTTTCGATTTAGTTAGCATTAATTAGTGCACGTCTGCTTCACAGATCTTTTGAAGATCGTTCCACATATTCTAGCCGAGCTACAACCTTCGTATCATTTTAGGTTAATTGATACATTACATACCCAAGTGTGACCTTTATGATTATGTCTGAATAAAAAGCCATTACAAAACTTTTTTGTAACCTGATAAGACTTGAAATTATGTATTGTTCGGACGAGAGAATTTTTAATAATAATAAATAGCGATCCCACTGTAAGCAATAACACCCACTTACACTGTCGGGTTCACTTCCAGGAAAGTCACGGCCCCATTAGTAACCATAATCATTAATTTCTGGTGAATTCACGATGGATCATTTGACCTAACTTCATCCTCATCTATCATCCCGTAGCGGTACTCCGCTAGTGTAAACCAATAACGCAGACGGAGTTAACATACCATTTTAATCAATTAAAATATATATATATATATATGAACACTATCATTTTAACTAAAATAATGTCGGATTTCACAGAACGGTCAATTAATGTAGTGAAATTAATTGACCTATTTATCAAAATACAGTACAATAAAATAATGGGTTTCAAGGTGTGCTTACATTGTTGTGTTATTACATGACATTATACGATTGTTTATAAGAATGATAACGCATGATGAAATAGGTACAATAGGCTATACGTGAATACGGCTTTAGATGAAAAGTAATTCATAAATGATTGAAAATATAAATTCAATCGTTCGAATATAATTCCTTTAGTTATTTTAACATCAGGTTGTTATGTTTTGAAATTTCGGAAAAAAAATCGTATTACGTAGGCAGGAACGCACATACTTTTTTAATATGTACATAAAATAATTATTACATTTCAATTGTAATAAGTATAACTTTCATTATGTTGTTAATTTTGTATGCAATAAAACGATAATGTTTATGACACTAATAAAGAGGTAGATGCCCTTTTGACAATTAAAAAATAAATTGATAACCTCATCAACTTCAATTGTATGTGTACTTACATATAAAATATGTAAGTACACATACAATTGAAATTGAATATGTTGTGCATAGGTAAAATACCTACGTACAACATATAAAGAGTAACCCGATTTTAAAGATTTTTTTACTAAAACTACTATATTCATAAATATGCAAGTTTGTAAAGATATTTCAAACGTTTTTTATGCAAGGTTTAACGACTGAACGTGATTGAATGAAATTCAGTACAGGGGAAGACTGAAATCTAAATTAACACGGGGGTAAATTTTGTCATAATACCCACAGGTAGTACTATTACTTGCGGGTATTACGATAAAATTTATTTAATTTTTAATTTTATTGAATTACTATATTAGTAGTTAATTATTTACCTCAAAGTCGCACTTATCTGTTTTATTTGGGATTAAACGGTGCTGTATTATGTCTAGAGTGTTTTATTTATATTGCAAAGTTAGAATGTGGCGACTGTACGTATAATTATTGTACTTTATCAGGTGATGTATGCCACCGATAAAAATATTATCCTATATATTTATAAAAAAAAAACTTACTTTATGAAACAGGATGTATGAAATCTATAACATTTGACCTTCGTATAGAGATAACTGACCTGAAACAATAAAATGATGCAATTAATATTTACGATTCTTCAGATTTAGGTTATCAAGATACGTTTAACAAACAAGTAGACATAAGAAAGTTACAACAAATCGATTTTATTTTCAAGTGACTTCCAAAAGCATGAGGTCCTTTTTTGTATGGACTAAAAAACGGTTGTTGTGAAGCAAGATCTACTCGTATACACGAAATTTCATAGTTAAAATATTATTGAATTCAATTCAAAAATATTTTTTTGAAATAACTAATGTAAAAACATCTATCTTCGGTGTTTTTTTTTATACAACTTACAATTGCAAACAAGATGACGGCCCACCTGATGGAAAGTGGTAACCGTCGTCTATAGACATGAGCAGTACCATGGACATAACAGAGTATACTGTTTCGCCCATGATACTCCCCATGCGTTGCCATTCCTGAGGAGTCAGGTGTTATTCCTCTGTACCCTGTAAATTTACGCCATATCCCACCCTTTAAACCGAAACACAGCCATGCAAACACAACTGCTTCACGGTTAAAACACGAATGGGACAGAGGTACCCAAGCAATCGACTTTTGTACAAAGTCTCCCTCTGGTGGTGTTTGCGTATTCACACATAGAATGCAAAGGAAAATGTAGTTATGGACTTCTATAATTTTTTACAGCTAGTACACATACAATATCTTACTATTATAATAAAATTAGAACTAAACCATGTCTGTATATGGCATATATTTAAGAAAAATAAGGATGAGTGATTTTGGCACAGAAGTCAAAAAGTTCCGCCATTACGCAAAAAATATTTACACATCAATTGTGTTCTTGAACATCTAACTTAAAATCTGATGTATGTTTTATTTTTATACGCCATCTAGAAGTTGTTTATTTCTTTAATTTTCCTACTTCAGAAACCACGTGTATGAAGTAGTCTGCAAAATCTAGTGATTATATAAATGTTATACTGCTATATGAGAGGCTAAATTAAATGTTTATTTTAGGCAGTATAAGATATACTGTTACTTGTATGTCGATATGTAAATATTTATATGCAGTTAAAGGTATGTGCATCATTATTTATCATTCCGATATCATTTATCAACTATAGATAGCTACTTCAATTCTCAGTTATTTTGGAGTATACAAAAACGGCTCAAATTGATATTGATGCTCGAACAGGGCAGCTTTTTGATATTAACCATCCATCAATTCACTAGACAGTATTAACTACCTGTATTACGAGTAAAAAATGTAACGAGGACGCATGTGTTGGTCAGTATTAACACAGAATACGTACCTATCAGTACCTATCCTAAATTCTTACTAATATGAGTACATATAAATTTACTCTCTGCTCATGGCTTTATATTCATTTGCACCCTTTTGGAGTGGCCTAGATTTTGATGGGCATTCTTTTTCTACAAGTAACAGTAAAAATTGAGAAATTATACCAAGATACCAAGTTTCAAATGTTAAGGTAAATTTAAACAATAAAATATTATTTTCCATAATATACTTTTAGGTTCGAGTTAGTGGCACTTTCTTCAATTTTATTTTGATAAATCTCATAACAAGCGGTTATAATATAAAAATAACACTCACTAAAAATAATATTTAACCTACATTATAGTACATACATACATTTGTGTAGTCTAGAGTCCAGACGTTTTAAAACAATTATTTTACAAACGAGGCTAACAATAATAAAAACTGTAATTCTCACATGCTATTGTATGCAAATGTTCGCATATGATAGGTTTATTTTGAAGCGAAATATAATGTTAGAATAACATCCGTACCAACTACTGAGTCTATGTAGAGTTAGAAACACATGGAACATATTGAATTATGTTAAACTAGAATAATATATCAAATAATAAGCAATTTAACCGCACGTTTGCTGTGTAGGCACTTTCCCGTATACATTGTATTATTTTACTTCAATATTTACTTTGTAATTATTTTTTAACACGTTCTGACATTCAATTGTGGTGAAAGGTATACTTATACAATTTTGGTGACACTGTAATAATAACTACATGATCTAGTTAGCTGGTTTAGAACTGGAAGGCGGATAACTTTGTACACAAATGCAAGCTCATCAAATTAGAGATCGTTTGTCGTGATCGATAGTAAGCACATAGATCGTGTCTGCTAGAAACAGTTTAGGCCTTTTAATGAGACTTAATTCTATCACAATAACTCTTTTTAAATGTAATAAATTTATTCGTACTGCGAAATTGTTTATATTCTTGGTGAAGTCAATACACTAGCTTTATTCTTTTAAAAAAGTGTTATCTGCGAAATTGAACATACTTCTCATAGAAATATGGGTCGAAAAACAATATACAATATTTAACTCTGTCATACTAAATTGACAACTGGACGCGCCATGTTGGTGATTTCGATTTCACTGTGTATTGATGCATATTTTACCGAATGCAAAGGTCGTTACGTTTAGATTAAAAACAGAGATCGATTTTAGCTGCCAATAAAATCTCTTCTATAATATGTTAATAAGCAACGAGCTCCATTAAATGCAATTTTGGATGCAATAGAATTCCATTACATCCAAAGAATGTGGCAAGCCTTGATAAGTTGCACTTGTTATTACTTATGACTTCTCGGCGTGACCGGGATATGTTGATTGATTGGAGTAATAGGTATCTCGTGCCCTTTTACATTATAAACACTACAATTTTATGACGATTGGTCGAGTTGTTATGGCGCCGAAAAGTAACAAAAAAGTCACATTCACATCTTTTAGACTTGAACAGCTTTATAAATATTATATGACAGAATATACAGCGAGACCTATGGATTTCCCTATTATATACTTCATACGTTATTATTTCTGAAGACAGTTTCCATATCCTGTAATTTCACTACCATATTCCACATTTCAAATCCAAACAGTGCTTTGCATGCATGCTTAGGATTACTCGTATTAGAATTTTTGAATAATATGAAATAATTCTATTAAGTGGTTTCAAGATTTTGTTTAAATTATTTTATTGTTATCTGATATTTAATTAATTACATTTACAATTACCCAATTATTGAGATGATTAATTTCAGATATTGTGAGCAACACTACACCACAATAATTTCATCGTAGATTCTTTAGTGGTCCTTTGTCTGGGACTACTTTAATTAAAGGAACCTTGGGAATTTCATTAAAGTAGCGTCAAGTGATCGTTTACATTTGTTACGGTTGTTCACTAATGTAGGCCTCTTGCTTACTGAAAGGCTTAACGTAAACAAATCACCGATGTTATTTAAAAAAGCTTGATTAAAGGCATTATTTGAAAGGCTAATCTTTTTTTTAGAAAGCTTCTTGAAGTACAGGATATTTGTGTGTGTAACTACTATTATATCACAGAAAGACCTTCGGCATTCACGACTGACCTCACGCACGCATATGGATTCGGTAATAAAACTTATATTGGAAGCACGCTACGACGCCCGAACTATAATTATGGGTATGTGTTGCGAAATTATAAAAAAACCAAAAAGAAATATTAAGGTAATGGGAGAAGTTGTTTACTATATGCGTGTAAATATACAAAAAACAAATCATAATGATTCCAAAAGTGTATGAGTAAGTACTCATACACTTTTATCAAGTGATATTAAAAAAAATGTTTGGATATTATGTTATCCTCGTCGTTAGTCCGACAACGTTGACTTATCTTTTATGCACATTTGCGAAACCAATTTTGTTTGCAAAGATTAGATCACGCTAACTATAGTACAATTACACAGGTCGGTATTTAAACTTATTAAAAAAAAGTCTACAATAACATCAGCCCTTGTGTATTGTTTTGTGGGCCCCCAAAAAGCATTCATCAATCTGTGTATAATTTTATCAAAAGTCCCAAGGAGATTATAAAATTAAGGTTACAAAATGTCATTTAGACGAATAAAGCCACAAGAAGAGATTACACATTTTTATTACAATTAAAAGACTTACAAAAATCACATTTGAAAGAGCCGTAGTACAAAAAGCTCTAACAAAAATATTTTTCCTCCGTTTTTCTCATATCAAGTCGAGTGCTAGGCGAGGTGTGAAGTTAAAGTGTTCGTTGGAGGAGTTATGATTATAAATGATGCAGAAGGCCGAGGCAAAGAAAGTTCGCAGATGTTCTTTAGCTTTGCTACATGAACATAGAAGCCTCGCAACTAGGTAAAGCAATCCGAATAATCCTACATTTTTCATTGTGATCCGGTGAATATTTGATATAAAATGCGTGACTTGAATCATGTAAGGAATGAGTTATATTTTTAGCAATTAAGAATTTACTGAATTCGTTGAACGGCGTGAATTTCTTGCATTCCTGGAAAGGCCGGTTTACATAAATTGAAGTTAAAAATTGTTATATTAATTAATAAAGTAATAATATTCATATCGCTCAGAGACCAGAGTTTATAATTGAGTCCTTCATTAGTCGACAGCTAAGCGAAATGTATTATATTTACGACTAAATTCTTAGATGAATTTAATTCAAAGAATATATATTGCTTTTTTATACCATTATTTTTATCGACACGTCCTTCGAGCCGCGACACATTGCAATGATAAATGGATCGCAAGTTAATTAAGGTGGAAGTCTCGTTGTTTGATTTTCTGGAAGCGTTATCTCAGGGCTCACACTTTGTAGGCCACACAATAGTGTTTGCATTCAACTTTATGAATAATCTAAGAGGCGTAGAATGGTGAATAAGTTTATAGGCATGCACGCTTGTAAACTTTAAGTAATCTGAAATTTAAACATCTAATTTACTTATACCATAGATAATATATGTAATAGCTTATACTAAGTATAAAGTACGGATATACGATATATATATATATATATATATATATATATATATATATATATATATATATATACTATTAAACGTACTACTATTAACTTTAATACCACATATTAAAAGTTAGTAAACTTTCTATTCGTGGACAATATAGAATATGCAAAGAAATTTTTATGTATAAGCAATATGCTCGTATCAGT